GAGGAAATTACACTCTCCAACATGCGCACGTTTGCCACAAATTCCTCTGCAAGAAAATAAACAGAATTATATCATTAGCACACAAATACACCCGAATGTCTTATTTAGATCAAGACAATCAAAAACCATGGCCACAGACAGTGGTAGGGTACCTGGTCTCTCCTTGGCCAAAATCCTGTCCTGACTCAACGCAATCTTCTCCTCCTGAATGAACATCCGATCAATCATCACCATCTCTGCCGAGGGGCCCAGTCTCTGCTCATGTTCGAAAGTCAAAGATAATCAGTTCAAATTCAACTCAGGACAAAGAAGACAGCAAAAAGGTGTAAAGTGCAAATGCTGGTTTATAAACTTACTTTAGACTCTGCAAAAAGCAGGTAGCGATATTTATCCAGCATGGCCTGGGTCCTTTTCAGCAGCTGGCAGGAGACCCTCTCAAATTCATCATCCACTGTGCACAAGACAACCAAAGTGTTCATAAAGATCTTGAATTTGGGAAAAGGGTAGTCAACTGTACAGTGCCTGCATGAGAAGCTCTGGAGTTTGTTACCTCTTTGATAGTCTTGAGAAGAGTTGGCAGTTCCCTGGTAGAGATGGTAAGGCAGCAGTCTGTGCAGTGTGTCCTCAAAAGAATGAAAGGGAGCACTGTAGTTTGGGTGAAGCACTGAACCCTGCTGTTTCCTCAGCTGTTCTAGCATCCTGCAATATGGAGTATATAAGGTAAAGTATAATACTATTCACATAAATGTAATTATGACCCAGTTAAAATAATTCATTAAAATGTTTTCTACATACCTAGCTTCTTTGCTGGGCTCTGCACTGAAAGGCATCTTCATTGTTGTTGACTGTGATGTTAAGTAAAGAGATGAAAACCAAGGATTAAAATCATCAGGCTGGAGCTCAACTATTAGAGGCAGTTTCAGAGGCAAACGCAGTGACACTCCTTTACCTGAGTCTGAACTGGAGCTGGAGGCTGTGGAGCAGGCATTTGAGTCACACTAGCTCCTAACACCTGTATCTGCATGCCACCTTTCCCCAGAGTCATCCCTCCAACTGAGCTGATCACTCCTGGCTTTGGCTGAACCTGTGGGTAAAATAAGAAAGAAGCTTAGATACTACCAAAATTCATAAAAGAAATGCAAAAAACTATCACTGTAAAATTCTGTATTAAATGTTGGGAAAAAACAGCTAGCACATGACAACACACAATAACCACCATGCATGTCACAGGATTAATAGGCTGCATAATGTTACCTACCTGTGCAGGCTGGGTAAGGCTGACAGGAGTGACTGTCTGATTTACTACTGCTCCACCCGCTCCCTGGGCTCCTGAGAATACCTGTAAGTCACTTGATGCTAAAACAAATTACAAACAGAAAGACTTTAAGGTGTGTTCAGAGTCAAGCAGTTTAAAGCATCATTAGTGGTAACCTGTGTCTAACCTGTAGCGGGAGTTTTCACAAGCACTGACGTCGGCTGCAGCACAGCAGGAAGCTGAGCGGGCGTACCAGAGCTGGCCGATGATGCAATCACTACTTTATCAACAGGCACGTCTTGCTGGCAGCTGAAGTGACTAGTGGCTTGAGGCTGAGACTGTTTGGCCTGCAGCAAGATGTTCTGTTGGACCTGAAAACACACCAGGACAGTTTGGACACATAATTTTGTACACAGGACAATGATCTAAATGAACTAGTTTGGCTCCTGAAGCCTCCTGATTTGTACTGATATGCTGATCACCAATCTAATCATCAACTACATTCTACAGTAGTACAAGCTGTAACATTAAAACATTGCAAACGAGCTTATCTTTTTATAGCACACATTTACAGGCAGATTACAGTGACTTTCATTAAACTGAAACTGAACAGGGACAATACCTGATGCAGCTTCTCCAGCAGCTGTTTCTGCTGAGGAGATGGCTGGGTGATGCCTGACAGGGTCTGAATTTGTGCTACTACTAATTGCAGGTGGTGCTGCTGCTCTGCTGTCAGGCCCTGGATTGGAACCTGGGCTTTCACTACAGCCGTAGCAGAAGTGCTGACAGGAGGCACAGTGAACTGGTGCTGTGCAGGTGGTGGAAGCGGAGGTTTGGGCGACTGTGACACGGAAGGCATCTCTTGTTGATAAGGGGCAGGCTGAGAGGCCGGCTGTGGCTGGGGCTGAAGCTGAACTTGAATATGTGCCTGCTGTGGCTGGCCTTGTGGTGCTGGTTGGGGGGACTCTGCTATTTGGTTATGGACAATAAAGAGTGGAGGGTGAGAGGAAGGTGTACAGGAGCGAGAGGGAGTTTGAGACTGAGACTGTGGCTGAGGTTGGGAGGGAGGACGTGACTGCTGTTGATGGTGTGGTGACTGCATCTGTTGGCTCAGAGTGAGAGGAGACTGGGAAGGCTGAGGGCTGTCCACCACCGGGGGTGCTGCAGCATGAGTGGTCAAGGCCGTTGAGGGGGACAAGCCCTGGATCTTCAGGGGCTGCTGATGTCCACTGGACGGTACCTGAAGAAGTATAATCGCAATATATTGATACGCAATTCTATTTCAAGAATGGAAAGTACTTTCATACCAGGAAATTAGGACATCAAGCACAAAAATCACACACACACACACTAAAAGTTCTACATACACACAGCATATATTAATGTGATTCTAGTACACGGTCCAAGATTTAATGCTAGATACAAAATAGGGCTGGGCGATATGGCTATATCACAATCTTAATTAAAAATCTTTTACACAACAATATTTATTATATGAAATGTATGCACAATTATTTGCACTTAAAATGGTGTTTAAAACTATGATAGCGTTTGTCTGTTATGTACTGCATAAGACAGAACTTCACATGTGTAAAACAATCCCCTCAACTTTTTTGTTGGATTTAATCTCAAACTGATTGAAACTGTTCAATAACACAGCAGTATCATGTTAACAAACGATCACTTAAGCATACACACACAAAACTTCCACTGAAAATCTGTACACAAAAATATAGAATTATCGCCCAGCCCCAATACAAATTACACAGACGTGGGTAAAACAATAACAAGCAATACAAAAAGCAAAGTGTTAGAGTTTAAATTACATCTAGTAGTTAAAGATGGGCCCGATCCAATCCTATATCGACATTTGGTCCGATATTGACGTGATTCACTCACTGGATACCGGACGGACAGGGCCGATCCATATTCCAGTCCGCAGCTTGCACTGGACTATGAACCCACCCATAATCTAACATAATTTAACATGAGTAACGTTATCGATCCATATTCCATTCCACATCTTACCATAAACCTGTGGAGTGAGCAAATAACATTACCCCTTGGTTTGACCAAAATGTCATTTGTTTGGAGATACTTTAGTATGGGAGCACTGAAAAGCAAGACAGCTACTTGTAATGTGTGCTGCGGGGTGGAACTACAGTTGAGTTGTACAATACAACCAATTTAATCAAGCACCTACAAACACATAAACTTCCAGTAGACACCCCAAAGGCTAAAGGGATTATAGAGAAGTTGCTCAAATTCATTATACTCGATGACCAACCACTATCTCTAGTGGAAAATGTCGGATTCCCAGCCTGTTGGAGCATTTAGAGCCCAGGTACCATCTGCCACCCAGAAAATATATTTCAGAGACTGTTGTACCTAAACTATACAACCAAGAGTCATTACAGTGGCGCAGTTAGATGTTAAAGCCATGAACTTCACAACTGATATTTAAACCTCAGATGTGTTCCCCTCATTTGCCACTTTACTGGACCCTGCATACAAAGCTAGGCAACACAGATTTAAAAAAAATTAATAATAAATTATTAATGCCCTAATGTTGGCTACATTTTAAATGGTAAATGTGAAATCTTACAAAACCAAAGCCACATGTTTATTTCTAGCCCAAAGTGGAGATTTGTACAAGTGCAATAATTTGGAGAAGAGCATCTCCTCGGCCTCTGACCGTCTAGTGGTTGCACTCATCCATCTTTACTCATATTTTACATTTTGTTTATTAATGTTGGTTGTTTTATTGCAATGAAAGAGCTCTGGTATTGGAATTTGTATCGGAATTGGATCAGAACTGAAAAAATGTGGATCGGCCCATCACTACTAGTAGTTGCTGAAGTAAAAGGAGTAGAAGCCCGGTGATTTTGTCTAGCATTTGAGGAGGATTGCACATAAAAAGGGAGCAATGGTCATCTGGTGAGCCAAAAAGAAAAACAGTTGATAAAACCAAGCGGTCAAGATCTGTGGGCCTGTGGTGGTAAAGTGACCTGAATACTTCAGGGACGAGAGTCGGGGAGCATGTAATTTTGGTTTGGGAGTCAATACAGTGGTCAGACTAGGGGTTACAAAGGGTGGTGGCACAGTACATAAGAGCCTAAATGAGAAGTCCATGATCGAGAGGTGTGGACTGATTGATCAGTAAATGGTCAGTAATGTAGCAGATGACTGAATTTGACTGAGCAGTGTTAGTAAAGAGGTGAAGAAGTTGCACTTAGTACCCTGATAGCTCTTCAATTAGACATGTGCAGAGTTTTAGGATTCTGTTAAAATTATACAGAATGGATGAAAATCATACAAAATTTGTTAAAAAAAAGTAAACATGGCAATTGATTACAAGTCCCAAATCCTATAGAGGTACATAAAGCTAAATATTAAAACAGCACAGAGGCTGACTCACAATACATATAGACAACTGAACATGCCTCTAGATATTGCAAAGAAATGCTGGAAACACACAGAAGCTGCAAGCAATTAGTTAATTTTTGCACTTAAGCACTGCATAGCAATGATGAGAGCTGTAGAAGCAATGACTAATGTAGAAGAGAAGCAGAGATCAGTGACAGGGAAAGGTCAGATACCCTAACGTTTGTGGCGGCAGCAGCAGTAACAAGTGGGTGGGGCTTAACATAAAGGGGCATTTCTACCTGCTTTACCACTGCTGTCATGTGGGAGGGGCCAGGGGAAGGACTGTCGCTCTGACCCACCCAAGAGTCAGTTAATTGGCTGTCATGGACAGAGGGGGCCGGAGCAGTGATGCTGTTGCTGCTGATGATTACAGACGCTGGTACGCCCACAGAGGGGGTTGACTCTGACTCATTCTCTGTTTGGTGGTGTCGTTCCTGATAAGAGTACATTTACCATTTCAGGACGAGGGAGGAAAGGAGGTAGGGGATTGAAGGGAAAGGGGAATAAAATAGTAAACCAAAGAGGTCAGACCAGGATATCACTCCGTGCATGTTATTTATACATGTTAAACATACATAATTAAAGCAAACATGCTATGAGCGGAACACAAACCTGTTGCAGGAACATCTGCAAAGACTCCTGGCTCAAGATCATGCTGGAGCCCTGGTTGGTGAGCAGTAACCTCCCTGGACTGTGTTGAGCCTGGGGGGGGACCAGCCCCACTGCTGTGACAGAGGAAGAGGTGGACACAGACATGGACGGAGAAGAGGAGGATACTGTGGTAGCTGTGGACACAGAGGAAGGCGGTTGCATGGCGAGCAGAGAGGACTGCGGCACATGCTGCTGAGTGGGATGTGCAGTCTGGTCTGTTGAGCTACCCAGCACAGTAACACACTCTCCAGGCTGGCCTTGAGCCATAGTTGCTACTCCTGTGCTGGTGCTGCTGGGGACTCCACCTGGCTGAGGTTGAAGGGCTGGCTGAACACTGAGTGCGGGGCTCAGTCCCTCCACCTGACTCAGCATGGTCAGAGAGTTCTGGATTGGCATGCCCTGTATGACTGTCTGAGCATGACCTGAGACTGTGTGGGTCTGTGTCTGGCCTTGACTCTGAGCCAATGAGACAGGCATCTGAAAGAGGGTGGGCGTGCCCATCTGGCCAGGCTGGAGCTGAATGGGCCCAGAGAGAATGTGGGCAGCCCCAGGGTGGCCCTGTGAAGTCAACACCTGTCCCAGGTTGATGTTCTGGTTTGTAGTTAAAATCTGGTTTGCTATGAGCTGTCCACCAGGACCCTGGCTAGTTATGATGTGGCCACCAGGGTGCTGGGTCAGGATCTGTCCACCTGCCTGTAGCTGTGGCAGGAGAAACTGGTGGTTCTGACCTTGCAGAACTGTCTGAGAGGGAATAACGATGCTGCCTGGTTGGTTTAACAAGTGCACACTGAGGGGCTTGCCAGATGGTTGTCCTGCTTGTTGCTTGAATAGGGTCTGTTGAAACTGAGGGCCTTGTGTTGTGGCTTGAGTACTCAGGACAACATTAGAACCTGGCTTTCCTGTCAGGAAGGCTACATTCTGAGCGGCAGAAACTGGAAGCTGCTGCAACCCTAGAGCCTTGTGGGCATCGTTTTGCAGGGGTTGTGGTGCTGACTGCTGCTGTTGTTGCTGTTTGAAGAGTTTGGGTTGGATGGCTCCCCCATGAGGAGGTTTAGGCTGAATGGGTGTTGGTGTGCGCTGGATGATCACATTCTGCATGATTTGGCCTTGAGTTTGCGTCTGGGGTCCAATTGCTGAAGTTAGAGGGGTGCTGCCAAATCCCACAAGCCCAGCAGGAGCAGCCACTGTACCACCACCACTGCTGTTTGCGCTGCTGACACAAACAGCTGGTCCATTTAAAGCTGGAGAGCCCAAAGTGGCTTTGTTACCTTGGATCAGAAGTCCACCTCCTGAGCCTCCAAGCGCTGCCTGAGAACCAGCACCTGACACCTCAGGCCCAGCCTGATGCAGCTGGTAACCACCCATGGCTTTAGCCAGAATTGGCTGCCCAGACTGATTGATAGTCATGACTGTAGGCTGACCAACAACCTGAATCTGTCCAATACCCAAATGTCCAGACTGACTCCCATTAGGAAGAGCTTGAAGACTTGAAATGGGTTGAAGCGTCACATTTCCCAGGCCTACAGGCTGCATAAATGGCTGAACACTAATGGCCTTGTTCATAACCTGGGGCTGAAGCTGAAGGCCCTGCTGGGCAAGCACTGACCCCAGCATGTCTGCTGTAGCATTGGGAGGCGTAGCAGTGGTGCTCGGGGCTGACCCAGGGAAAATTGCTGCTGCTCCCCCAACACCAACACCTATGCCTACTCCAACAGTAGTGCCTCCAGCCGCAGAGAGGCTGGCTTCAGGCAGCGTCTGAACCACCTGCGCAAGGCCTGGAATTCCAAAGGAGCCCAGGTCCAGCTCAGCCTCTGCCTCCTGTAAGCTTTGTTCTGTGATGTTGGCTTCAGCCAAACTCTGCTGCAGGATGTCACATGGCTCGTGATTTGTCCCAATGCCATTGCTCCCACCTTCACCGCCTGGGGATCCTCCCAAGATGTCCTCATCCTCCAAGAAGTCCAGGTCAACACTGACTCTGGGCAGGCCTGCCGACTCATTGGCCGACAGCTGGACTGCAGGCTGGACCTCTGAAACATGGCCCTTAAAGGACAGGAGGAAAAGAAAGAGGTGAAACCAGGTGATGAATAATTTTGATAGCTTTATGTTATGGCAAGGAATTTAACAGTGCTAACACAGACTTGCACATATGAAAATGACAGAAAAACCTCTTGTCAAGATGTGACAAATCAAAGCTTGTAGAGTGAAGATATGTTCATGGAAAGGAAAGGTATTTGGAGATGCATGCTACATAGATGGATAGGAAAAAGAAGGAGCAGGATTGGGGGATTTTACTCACCCCAGTGGTAGAGAAGAACGAGCTGGAGGGATCACTCGAACCATCCAAAAGGTCGTCAGTGTCCAACTATAGACACATCCACCCAGGATAGGACAGACAGAAACCAAAGGCACCCAAACCAACAGGCAAAAGCCACCAGGACATAGAAACATACAGACCATCAAACAGAGGAGGAGGGCAAGGAAAGGACAGAACACAGTCCAGAGAACCCACATCATGTAAGAATCAGCAAAAAGATAAGCATCAGGGGAGCAAGGCGATAGGGATAACACAGAGTCGGGAAGCATTAGTATTAACATTTCGTATTTTGAAAATTAGCTTAATAAAAAGGGAAGGCAGGTTGAAACCATAAAGAGGGCATTCAAAAAGTAAAGATACTCATTAAGTAGAAAAAACAGTAAATGAAAGCAGTGAGGAATGTGGGTTAGAGGGTGCATCAACATATAATCTGAAAGTGACTTAGGTATGGAGTCATGTAAGATCCAAATAAAACATGCACAATCAAGGCTCCTCATTACAGAAACTACAAACCCATTTTTTATAACTAGAAATCACAAGCCTACCAGATGTGACTTTTCTCACGTTTTTCTCTCTTACTTACATGGGTCTCAGATCCATGAAGAAAGTCATTGAGAGCTTCTGGGTCACTGCAGGAAAAACGTGATTCACAACAGCATAAGACAAGGCAAATGACAAAACCAGTCTGCGATATCAAACCGATCTTGCACATTTTCAGCAGTGACTTACCAAATTACATCTAGAAGGCACCTGCCGTCTTCATCATCCATGACAACTGTTAAAGATCAAACAAGTTTTAGTCTAGCGATAATTAGTTTAATTGCTAACAGTCTGCTAAAAAAAAAACTTTCAAAGGTGCATAATATTATCACTTATCTATACACAGTTACATTTATTTTATATTGTTATTACAACACCAAATGTTGTGACAGTTTGGCTTCATATTTAGCGCCCTGGTTGTTTATTGGTACAGTGAGGTTTCAGTGCTGATTTATAGTATTTTGATGTGTGTATTTTGTCAGGAGTCTACAAAACTGCAAGACTTTTTAATCAAGTGCTCATCTGCCTTGGTGTGACAATGAGTAAGATTATGTGATTATTATTAACAATCATTCCATTGTCAAAAAATTACATTTGTGGATTTGTTTTTTCAGCAAAGCACAGTATCATCACATTTTCAGCACGGATGCTCCTTACAGGAATAAAACTCTTTCTAGGGGTGTGTTAATGATGTACTACATACTGTGAAAGACAGACCTACACATGCACACACAAATAATAATATATAAAATAACAGTAATTAATATATTGCTTTCAGATTGTTCAGACTTTTCAGTTGATTACCTACATAATTATGGCTAGTTCTTAAACAATAACTTTATTTACTGTCCTCAAAAATCCACCACAGACCAAATATGGAACTCTAACTCTTCTGGCTAATCTATATGGGTAGAGATTTTTGATAAAAATCAATTCCAGCTTTTTAATTCGCTCAGTCACTGTGTGCACATTCACATTATGAGCAATGGCTCAAAACATTACACCACCTATTGCTGTTAGCCATCTCTCGAGTTTGCTGTGGGTCTTGTGAGAATACAACCACCACAGAGGCAACTATCAAAGGTTGCTGGACTTCAAATACTACAATAACAACAATACGACGTCAGTTCCTAATACACATTTTTAAAAATAGCATCTTAACATATAAAGCCAATATTATCATCAGTTGTAACAGGTCATGTTTTCATATATACGTTCAGTAACAAGAAAGCCTTCTGTTACAAACTCGTCGAGACATTAAACAGTAGATATGTCTGCTACACACAGAGAAATAGGGGATGGAAATAGACAACAAACCGAAAACGCGCGGTTTTCACACAGCCTGAAAAGATTTCTAGTGCGGGCTCTTGCTTAATTTATAACGTCTCAGAAGTTCTGCATAACACTTCCAGTAACACAAATACAAAAAGTCACCAAATACTTTACGGATACATACAACCGAGGCTATGTAAGGTACATATCCGGGGTTACCGCTCTAAAACAGCAGCGGATCGTAGCCATTACTCGGTTAGAGCACAGCCAGTGCGCAGGATATGAATGGAGACGCTGCAAGCGGCTTGCTACATGCTAAATGGTGTTTTTGAAATAGCTCCCCGTGCACATTTTGCCAAATCGTTAAATACGCATTATTTCACAACTACATCATTGTCTTAAGACTCTAATTTAGTAAAATGTTTGATTTCAAAAACCTGTTTCACCTCTTTTCCAAGCATTTTGATGCGACTATGTTGAGTTTCATTAGCCTAGCTACCTAGCCTGCTAAGCCAACAAGCTATCAACAATATTCAGACGGACAGCTAACAGCTTGAGCCTTTGACATTCAAAACAAACCAGCGAGTGACAGAATTTTAATACTCAAAGTGCAAAGCGGCACCTCGATTTAACCACGACAAGTCAATATTGTTTGTTAAGTAGTGTAAATGCAATTGCGTAGCGAGCTATCTCTTCTTGCAAGCAAAATATGAGTTAATGTTGGAATACTCTTGGATGAGGGGGATATGCTTGGGAATTCGTTGGAAAATGACAGTGTTTGCCGGGTCGTGCAGCGGTGTGGCATTTCGATTGCGGTAGCGGTGCAATCTGCGGGTTGTCTGCAGTACGCAAATATTGCAGCTCTGTTACGGTAATTCCGATTAATAGATAAATTGCTACATTGTAACAAACTCACCCGAGACGATAGAGGTGCAGGCAGCGCGGGGTCTCCAGGACAGCCTCGCACGGGCTCCTGTACAGGACCCAACTACAGGCAGGAAACAGGAGACTTCCGTTTTGCCTGATTGAAATCTGTGGCACCTTTGCCTGTTTGTGCCTTATCGACGTGTACTTTGCTGAAGGTTTACGATTTTGTGCGACAAGCTCAGAAAACTGTTCTCCTGATGAAATTGGTCTAGTGCTTTTTGTTTATAGAATTTGAACAAGCACTTCAGTTTCTGAAAGCTCAACAAAAAGCCAGCCAGCAAACCTTAAGTCAAATCTACTTAGAAAGCATCCAATGACTAACAGACTGCAGGCTAGTTTATCTCACATCGACTACTTCGAAAACTAGAACTTGCCCCTTACAACATAGCCAGTCAGTTATGCAGTTTTTTTTAAACTCTCTAACTAGTTATGACAGTTTCATATTTGGGAATGCCACTTTTTCAAGTGAAGGGGGACCCTAAAACCTTTAGTAAAGTTTTAGTGGTGCAGATGTTTATTGAATAAAGTCACATAATGTTTTCTCTTCTCTTTCAGAGCAGGAAAATGCCTGGACATCTCACCCAAAGCATAAGATCATGCAGTACAAGTGAACAAAAGATGTCTACATTAAAATGACTTGAGAAGGAATAAACGGCTACATTTTAAAATGAGCACAATCAGTGTTCAGACCTAAATGCTGCAGATGTTGAATTAAGACCTTAAAGAGCCCATGGCATGCTTTTTCTTGTTTCTTGACTTATCTACAATGTTACAATGGTGAATTATCATCTTAAACGTGACCAAAGCTCAAAAAATTAGATGTTCTAGTACTTCTTTGCAGATGCAACTCAGTTTATACAAGTCTTGCAAACTCTCACTCACAAGGCTTTTTTTCTAACAACGTAAAGTCTGTTATGATAGTTTATGGATTTCCTTGAATGGTAATATTCTCAAGGCAGCTGCACGTTCATGTGAGCTTGCCTGATATCCACCAGTGCCATTTTAAAAGTAGGATTTTTTTTGAGTGCACGCAGTTTTGTGGATGTATTTTACCTCCTGCTGCTGCACTGTGACTAGATGATGTGGAGAAAATACAGGGCCTGAGATTACTGCATGTCTGGGGATGTTCCTGTACAGGGACCTGCTGTTTTACCTGGCCAGGTCTAACCTACAAGCAGCTGGCCAGTGAAGCCCCCTGGGGCAGTGAATCATCAGCTCATCGGTGCTGGATTCCCCGGAGCACAATACCTGTTTGTTTTGACTGCTTAAAGCCAATGTGTCTGCCACATGTGGTTGTGAGAGGATTCTAATGATCCATGATGTTATTGTCAGTGCTATGCTACCTGTTGGAATTAATTTTACTAATTTGGGGTAAGTTTGTATGTGGCCATGTGGGGGAAAACTCAGTGATCACTGGTTTGATTTACCCCTAAGATAAAAGAGGCATACTAAATTTCTTTCTTTTTTTTGTTTGACTTCTTTACATATACATATACACAATACATATTTCTTGTGAATAAAAACTAATTGTTGTAACATAACATAACCATACAGTATAATACACTGAATGATACAGGGTTCAGAAAAACTACCACAACTCTAAAAGTTTTATCCTGAGCATCCTGAGAGAAAAGTAAAAAAAATGCTGTACTTCTACAACAGTCTTTACACCATTTACTTATCATTTGCTTGTTCAAATAATCAGTCCAACAATATTATTGTGCATAACATTTAAGATTAATAGGACAACTTAAGCATTATACTGTATCAGAGTCAAATTCGTCATGTGTCCAACACACCTGGCCAGTAAAGCTGATTCTGATTCTGAATATACAATGTGTGCTTTACAGGTCTGGTCTGATGCTCACTGATGTTGACAAAGAGGCAAGGAAATATTTTTGTAGCTCAGTCCCAGGTAGGTTCATAATTTTTTATGGCTATTAAATTATTATAAGATGTTTCCATATATTTGGCAAAGAGATAGGCTGCAAATTATATAACTGAAAAGCAGTTATTTGATAGTGTTTAGCATCATGGTAATATTCTGTAGGCTGTGGTGAGGTACAGTAATATTTGTGTGGTACATAGACTATATGAGCTACAATGGGATCAATAGTTAGTGAATTAAACAGAAGTCATGTTTCAGCTATCAATTTCAACAGTGATACATTGTCTGGTCTCTGAACCACTTCTAATTCAACTGTAAAGTCAATCAACATCTATATATCTTTGGGATTATGAAAATTGAAGTGGGGATAGGGGCAATGAAATTGCAGACAGTATTGTAAAGTCAGCTTTAAGGAATAAAGAAATAGATATTAAATGTCTGGATGGGAAAGTTGAATACACAATTAAAATCAAAGAAGATAGTGTAAGGGAGTGTTAAAATGGAAAAAATGAAGTCACAAGGAGCCTTCAACCCACTATTAGGAAAAGCATTTATTCTTATAGAAACCACAGGGATTATACTCAAGGATATGAAGGGATATTAAACTAAACTACCGCATTGCATATTACATACATATAGAGGGCGGTAATACACCAAGCTGTGTCTACACTGCTTTAAAATACAGAAGAAGAAGAAAAAGAAACTGAAGTTTACGAAGAACACCTGAAGGCAGCTACAGTGTTTTTGCCGCTTCCGTGTCACATGACAGAGGTAATGTATACTTTGCGACTGATGATGTGACAAGGCGAATCCATTGCTGCAGCTGCCCGTAGTTAGCAATTTTGTTGACGTTAGCATTTCTTTATTCTTCCTCAAAATTAGAGCAGCGACACGAAAATGGACAATAGCGGGAAAGAAAAGGAAGCACTTGCTTTAATCGCCGAGGCCGAAAAGAAACTAAAGTCATCGCAGTCCTTTTTTGGATCGCTGTTTGGGTGAGTATGTTAGTTAGCTGCTGTTCAGCTAATTTTGTCAAGCTAAGGGCCAACTAAGCGGAAGGTTGTGGCTATCTGTCCTGTCTTCCTGACAAAAACAAATGATTAACAACACTGATCTGCTTTGTATGTAACGTCTATTTGTTGCGGTCAATTAAGCGACTGTGCTCAAGAGCTGCATATGTTTAACGTTAGCTGCATATGTTTAACGTTAGCTGCATAAGAGACGTTATCGTCCCACGGATCATTGCTGAACACATAACTAAGTATATATCTAAGATATAGCTGTATAGAGGAGTAAACATTGCCCAGTTACATAACGCTGTGATGTCTGGTTGAGGATGACTTTAACAGGTTGTGTAATATTTCAAGTGAATCGCGCTTTAAGGTAAGGGACACTGAATATTGGCTGGAGCATTGCTTCTATGGCGCCATCCACCGGGGAAATGTTGTAAGGTCACTCGGTGCACATCACATATCAGCTACGTTTGTTTACAGTAGCTGAGTGGAATGGATCTGTGAGTTGCAGCAGATTTAGCAATAAGTTAGTACCCAAAATAAGCCCCCACCCACCAACAAAATCCATATAACAATCCAGACATTTAACTGTATGTTTTTTTTTTCCAGATCAGAAATACATGCATGCCCAGAAGCTATATGTTTTGCGTGAACAGTGGCCACATGCTTATCATATTAACAAAAGCACTGAGTGAAGTGAACAGAGGAATCCTCTCTGTCATGCAGTCTGCCCCAAATCAATATGTAGTACTAATGATTGACTCAAGCTACTATGATACTTGAGTGGCAAAGGGTGTTAACTCTAAACCAAAATGTTCTTAGAATAAAAGAAGTAAATGAAGACTCCTTGCTGAACTAAATGTGTGCTGTCACACAGGAGTTCCTCCAAGCAGGAAGAGGCCTGCGACCTGTATGTGAGGGCAGCCAACATGTTCAAAATGGCCAAAAATTGGTGTGGTAAGAATAATTATTGCAGGTTGAATGAATAAGTGTAATGAATGCCTTTTTCCTAATATAGACATTCAGCCTGCTAACATGCAGGGTTTTTTTTTTCAGCTGCAGGAAATGCATTCTCCCAAGCTGCTTGCCTTCACCTGCAGATGCAGAGCAAACATGATGCAGCAACTAACTTCATAGATGCTGGAAATGCCTTCAAAAAAGCAGATCCACAAGGTAATCATTCCTCATCACCACCCTCAGGATATACAACTGCTGAAGCACACTTGTAATGACCTGTTTGCAAGCTGCTGAGTCATTTCCACTGGACCATGCACATAAAGCCAATGGCATCTCATGCCATTAAAATGTTCCAGATGAAGAGCTTCAACAGCATCATTCACAGATCATCCAACACTGTGCAGTAGGCAAATGAGGACATGGACAATTGAAGGCATTGTACTGGAAAGATGTGTAAATAAATAATGATGTCAAGCCCGGTGGTTATCATCTGTTAAACACAGTAACACTGCTGCCTCGAACCTTGCACTTCTCACAACTGGTTGATTTTGGAATCCAAGTTTGACATTATACTACACAGCCTTACGTTGGTTCATTGTTTACTTGCCCCTTGCTGTTGCCTTGCATGGGGATACGTACATGCACATTGAGAGCCACTGTACCAGAGTCAAATTCCTCGTGTCCAACACCTGGCCAATAAAGCAGATTCTGAGGTTTTCTAAATATTGTTATTTTTCTCAACAGAGGCCATAAACTGCCTAAACCAAGCTATTGAGATATACACAGACATGGTGAGTTTATGAACAGGGAACTCTTCATTTGAAAAAGCCATCTTATGTTTTGTACATGATTTGTTTTGTAACATATTTGTGTTTTGATGTAGGGGCGCTTTACCATCGCAGCAAAACATCACATCACCATTGCTGAAATATATGAGACAGAGCTGGTGGACATTGACAAGGTTATATTATTTAACTCTGTCAGTTTAGTGATTATTACTGTACCTGTGAACTCCAGGGCAGAGTTTTGCCTCTAATTTAGCTGATAATAGTTCTGTATACACCTTATGTCCAATTTAGTCCGATTTCCATTCCAGGCCATTGCTCATTATGAACAAGCGGCAGATTATTACAAAGGTGAAGAATCTACCAGGTATTTTGAATGAGAAATATTCTCTTTTGTTTTCATCTGATGCTTTTCCCTTTTTGTTTGGCTTTACTTTATGCATTTTCTTTTTATTTTCATGCCTTTTTAGTGGCGTTTGATCCCTGATATCTTGGATGCTTTATGATTTTTCTTCTCAGTTCAGCAAACAAGTGCCTTCTGAAAGTAGCAACCTATGCTGCTCAGCTGGAGCAGTACCCAAAGGCTATTGAGATCTATGAACAGGTGAGATAATGCTCAGCTTGTTGCCATCATCTTTACTGACCTCCACTAAACAAACAGACATTAAGTGTACTCTGACTTTAGGTTGGAACCCATGCAATGGACAGTACGCTTCTGAAATACAGTGCCAAGGACCACTTCTTCAAGGCAGCGCTCTGTCACTTCTGCGTAGACATGCTGAACGCAAAAGTAAGCTGTAACACAGACTAATCATGTACAGCAACTGTAACGTGAGCAACCGTTCTAACATTCATCTTCTTTCTACCCAGCTTGCTGTGCAGAAGTATGAAGAAATGTTTCCGGCGTTTTCAGACTCGAGAGAATGCAAACTGTTGAAGGTAAGCTCTAAAATCCTCACACAAAAACACAGAAGAAGCTTGTAAATACAGAGAGGGAAGGCTGATGGGAAGAAGTTTAACTTAAGACTACTGCTCTGTTTCCTGCCGCTCTGCGCTCTCTTACTGTTTTCACTTAAAGCTGTTGGTTGACCCTACTAATATCCATATACTAATCGAAAACAAACGTTAGATTGTAAATATAAAACACCCCTTATTCAGACACAGTGCATTATAGTCTGTTGTTTAGTTCAGATTGCGTTTAACCCTCAGGATGTATTTTTTTCAGGCTTCGTGATGTTCAGCATTATTGTAAACATGTTTTATATCTAACCAGAAACTTCTAGATGCCTATGAAGAACAGAATATGGACGCCTACACTGATGCAGTGAGTGGACAATTTTCTTTCAGCACTACTTGTAGATGATGCCAGTAAATGAATACTGAGACCTTGAAGATTAACATCTAGTTCAAAAGATTTGAAAACACATTTGTCCAAATATTGTTTTGAGCTATTATGTTTTAAATAAAATAATAAAGACCAGACCAAAATGCCACACTCTACAACCCAACTTTTCTGTCTTTTCTTTTGTGTGTGTTGTTTTTGTAATATCTGCTGCTCCTGTCTCAGGTGAAGGAGTACGACACCATTTCCCGACTGGACCAGTGGCTCACCACTATGCTTCTCCGCATTAAGAAAACCATACAAGAAGATGAGAGTGACCTTCGCTGACTTTATCTCCTGCTTGTCCTTCCTCAACAACCAACTTGCATCCTCCATTTTTGGCTTGAGCCTCTTACTTCCATTCTAGCAGCAATCTTAATTTTTTGACCATTAGCCCTTCACAGAGAGTGTGATTCTTTCCTACCACCTGCAGTATTTTGTGTTTTGTTTTTAATCTGATCAACTCAAACCTCCAAACATTATATAAGGTCTTTGTAGATATGAACACTATTTTCCTGAGTGCACACTGCACACGGTATGTTAGTTGTAAATTAATGTTATGCAGGTATTGGCCCGATATTAGTTAATATTCATAACTGGGCTGCAGTACTGGAAAGTTATACCAGCACATTTATGTAACAAAGGTTTTATTTAACTTCATTGCTATAAAATGGGTGAGAGGATGAAAATTCACTTGATCTATACAATGTTTTTCAGAATGTGCTTTAGAATAAACTAAATTGACCAAACTATTTAGAGTGCTTGAGTGTACTGTAGGTCATATCAGGGCACATTTAATTAAACAGCACTTCATCTCAGTTGCAGAGCTCCTCTCCCAGCAGAAAGGCCAAGAGTTTCTGAGGTTATGCCACAGCACATACCCCCTCTGCCTTATACCGAAAAGTTCTCAGGACGCGAACAGCTAGATTTGATGACAAAAAGTCTTGCTTTTAGAAGCACATCAACTAATTTGCTACTTGTGTTTGTCACATCCATTTAAAGTGCTTTTATTCCACAAAAGAAACTGAAAAAAAGCTCATCACCTTTGTAAACATTTGCATGATTTGGTATGGATGAGAACTAGAATAGCCGTTTTTCACTGTATAGGAGTTCATTCTCAAGTGTGTTTTGTTTTGTTAATTGTCTGAGTTGTCATCTTAGCAGGCTGAAAAAGGCCTACACCAGAAGCAATACATTGATAACAAAGGAACTTTACTGATCTGAACACTGTGCTAATGTATCATGATTTTGGTCTTGAATCATGTGTACATCACTGATGTTTCCTGTCAAACGTCTGAATAAACCTGTTTTGCGTGCAGCATCCTGGGCGTGGCCTCCACCTGCATGCACTGCTGTGTGATCACCTGGTCACATGTACTCACCTGCATCTGCAGCCAAGCACCGCGGTTCCAGTTACTTTACAGAAAATAAGGAGTGTAGAACTGCTTGATGCAGATTTTATGTAGCGGTCCTCTTATCGGCTGGGCTTGGCTTTCTTGTCCCTCTGTTACTTCGGAAATATACTAAAGCTTTGGCTCTCCGCGTGTTCATCCTGGGTTTAGTAAGTATTTTACAAAACCTTAAATGCCCATTTTTTATGACTAAACTGACTTGTTGAACTCCAGGCTGAAGGTGTCTTTGTAACTCGGTTGTCTGTAAAGTCACGGCAGGTTTATCCAATTATAAGCGAGTCACACTTGAATGAATTCGTATAAACGTCTCACCACGATGGAAGGACTCTGGTAAAGATGAGATGCAATGTTTTCCATGTTTCAGTCTTGTTTAAATTAAAACCGATGCGTTTTTAATTGATCGTGCCGCTGTCTAATCAGTGAGGTCCCTCCGGAGTTGTCGTGTTATTTGTACAAAGCCAGTTGGTCTGTGTTAAAGTGACTCGTCCCAGCTGAGTAGATTTATTTATATCTAGGTTTTAATTGTCACCTCACATGGCAGCATTGAAAACAAGCTCAGAAAGTGTTCCTGTACTTGTATTGTAGCCTATACCAGCAAACATTGTGATATACAGTAATAGGCCCTGTTGATAACAGGCTGCGTTATGTTAACACATTTCATACACAGAGGGAATTCAAAGTGATTTATAGAGGCAAGGGGAAACTTTCATTGTTAAAAATAACAAGCATTAAAATGAGTTAAGACAGTCTGTCAGGAAGGTTTTTATGGTCTGCAGTATTAAAAGCTGCACCAAAACTAGTTTTACCTGACTCAGTACTGATAATATCATTTATCAGTGGAGTGTCAGCTCTGTGGCTTTGTCTAGGGACAGACTGGAGTCTGTGCAAAAGGCCATTTATATTTATAAAGTTATTCAGTTGAAACAGGTTTGGCTACTTTTCAAATGTGAGCCATTGTCAGTTTTCAATACATCCATGTCAAGTAAGTAAAAACATTTCTGAAGAAGCTAGTTGGCTGGTTGTCCAAACAGCAGGTGGATTAGTACAGTATTGTTCAAAATAATACCAGTAAAACGTGACTAACCAGAATAATCCAGGTTTTTAGTATATTTTTTATTGCTACATGGCAAACAAGTTACCAGTAGGTGCAGTAGATTCTCAGAAAGCAAACAAGACCCAGCATTCATGATAATGAATAATATAATGATAAGGCTGTGGGCAATTAGTTGAAAGGGGTGTGTTCAAAAAAATAGCAGTGTCTGCCGTTGACTGTACAAACACAAAACTATGTTGTACAAACGTTTTTGTTTCTAGGATTTAGCAATCCTGTGAATCACTAAGGAGAGCAAAACCAGAGAGACGTGGAAGAAAACGGAAGACAACCATCAAAATGGATCGAAGAATAACCAGAATGGCAAAGGCCCAGCCAATGATCAGCTCCAGGATGATCAAAGACAGTCTGGAGTTACCTGTAAGTACTGTGACAGTTAGAAGACGTCTGTGTGAAGCTAATCTATTTTCAAGAATCCCCCGCAAAGTCCCTCTGTTAAAAAAAAGGCATGTGCAGAAGAGGTTACAATTTGCCAAAGAACACATCAACTGGCCTAAAGAGAAATGGAGGAACATTTTGTGGACTGATGAGAGTAAAATTGTTCTTTTTGGGTCCAAGGGCCACAGACAGTTTGTGAGACGACCCCCAAACTCTGAATTCAAGCCACAGTACACAGTGAAGACAGTGAAGCATGGTGGTGCAAGCATCATGATATGGGCATGTTTCTCCTACTATGGTGTTGGGCCTATTTATCGCATACCAGGGATCATGGATCAGTTTGCATATGTCAAAATACTTGAAGAGGTCATGTTGCCTTATGCTGAAGAGGACATGCCCTTGAAATGGTTGTTTCAACAAGACAATGACCCCAAACACACTAGTAAACGAGCAAAGTGTTGGTTCCAAACCAACAAAATTAATGTTATGGAGTGGCCAGCCCAATCCCCGGACCTTAATCCAATCGAGAACTTGTGGGGTGATATCAAAAATGCTGTTTCTGAAGCAAAACCAAGAAATGTAAATGAATTGTGGAATGTTGTTAAAGAATCATGGAGTGGAATAACAGCTGAAAGGTGCCACAAGTTGGTTGACTCCATGCCACACAGATGTGAAGCAGTTATAAAAAACTGTGGTCATACAACTAAATATTAGTTTAGTGATTCACAGGATTGCTAAATCCTAGAAACAAAAACGTTTGTACAACATAGTTTTGTGTTTGTACAGTCAACGGCAGACACTGCTATTTTTTTGAACACACCCCTTTCAACTAATTGCCCAATTTCACAGCCTTAAGAGCGTGCATATCATGAATGCTGGGTCTTGTTTGCTTTCTGAGAATCTACTGCACCTACTGGTAACTTGTTTGCCATGTAGCAATAAAAAATATACTAAAAACCTGGATTATTCTGGTTAGTCACATTGTACTGCTATTATTTTGAACAATACTGTATGTTCCTGTGAATGTTGACAGTCAACTCATATTGTTTGTGTGTGGCTGCAGCCGTGGCCTGGTTGCATTGTTTGACATTGAGGAGTTTGGAGTTCGCACAAAAAAAGCTTTAAGTTAGAAAGTCAGGTTCTGATCATGTTCAGGGATTAGTTCTCAACAGTGGCAAACAATACAAAGACTGAGGATATCCCTGCTGATGATGTTGGAGAAAAAGTTGGTTAATTCAGTGTTGTAAATGCAAAGCCTCTAAACATCTCAATGAATCAGAAGACTGTTTCCTCCATTTGTGCTCAGCCTTTCTGACAGTTTCTCCATGGTGCCTTCTGTTTGCCAGAGATGGTTTTTACCTTTTCTGGTGCAATAGTGTCGTTACGTTACACAGTTTTACAGCTAAAACAATCAAGGAGTGAATCTGCAGTTTGATGTTAGGCTGAGTGACACGCATAGCTTCAATAAAAGGACAACTAATACTCTATCAAGCTATACAGTTTGTGGTGTGTTGATTTACTTAAAAGGTGTTGTCTCTGTATTGTTTTTGTTGGCAGGTACATCTACTGTGCCAGCTGCTGGATGAGTAACCTCAAGACTATAGGTCCCAAGACGGTCTTCCCTGAAATATGAGCTGTATCTAGGGACGTGCTGCTTGGTTTACTTACTTGAGCCAATGAGACGCATTCAAAACCTCATTGCTATGGTTTTCTGTACCACTGTATTCATAATCATCTACTTGACCATGCACCTAGAGACGAATCACCGTGTCAGGGCTGGACGAGGGGACAACCTGAAGCATACCAGGGTCCAGGTCCATGACAGTGATGTGAAAATACAGTCCTCCAAACACAAGAGCATCACCATACCTCACCCCAATGTCTATGGTACGTCTGTTTCTGAATACCTCAGACAGACCATCCCTCAAAATGGAGCGTACTGGAACCGTCTGCTGTACATGGCCCTCAAGAATCTGGACAAGGGGGAAGACCTTTTCAGACACGACTCTCACTGGCCCCACTGCAGGGAAACCATTCAGGAGCTTCTGAAAATTAATGTGCACGACTTCACCTCCTACCCTATCTTATTCCAGAACTTCTTGCAGGTCATGAACTGCAGGTACTCTCCAGTCCTGACCAGTCAGCCCAACAAGTGCATCTCCGTTGACAAGGAGGGAGCCAACGAGACCTTCCTGCTGTTCGCCATCAAGTCAACTCCTGGGAACTTTGAGCAAAGACAAGCAGTGAGGGAGACCTGGGGCCAAGAGGGGGTGTATATGGATAAAGGTGGCTCCACCAGCCGCTCTCAGACAAATGGCAATGCACTGAGAGTGCGCACAGTGTTCCTCCTGGGTGGCTCCCCGCTGGGTGACCCTGACCTTGGCCCACTGCTGTCGTTTGAAGCACAGCACTTTGGGGACCTTCTGCAGTGGGACTTCTATGACTCCTTGAACCTGACGCTCAAAATGAACATGTTCCTCCAGTGGACATTGAAACAGTGTCCTCATGTCTCCTTTGTCTTTAGTGGGGATGATGACGTATTTGTCAACACACCAGCTTTGCTCAGCTACCTGCAGTCTTTGGAGGCTTCTAAGGCATCTCAGTTGTATGTTGGACATGTCATAAGCCCAGCAAATCCTCACAGAGACCCTAATAGCAAGTACTACATTCCTCTGAGCTTCTATGATGGTCCATACCCTGCTTATGCTGGTGGAGGTGGCTTTCTTTTCTCTGGAGCGTTGCTGCAACCCTTATATTCAGTTTCACGAGTCATTCCTTTCTTCCCCATCGACGACGTCTACATTGGGATGTGTTTTAAGGCTCTGGGAGTTTCACCTGAGGCACATGCAGGTTTTCAGACCTTTGATGTTGAGGAGCACAATCGTGAGAATCTGTGTGTACATAAAAATCTTATTCTGGTTCATCAGCGCTTCCCACAGCAGATGAAGAGGCTGTGGAAGGGCATTCACAGCCCTTTTTTAACTTGTTGAACTGGGCCCATAAACAAGTTAAAAAAGTGGAAAGAGTAAATATTACACTACAGTGACAAAGTGCCATGGCCTCAGATGCTGCCATCTTGTCCCCTCAGGAGGATGCAGCAGGAGGAATTGTTATTCAGGGTTTTATTATTACTTTGCAAAGACAAAAGTGTACAATGGAACAAGTAGAGCTGTTGTTAATGAATTGGGAATACAGCAGTGTATTTTAATAGGTTTATGTGTTATAACAGGAAGATATTTTCAAACTTGAACTGCCGAGGAAGGATTATATTTCACTGCCAAGGCAAGTTAGACACAATTTTAGATGTCATTAACTCAAAGTCGATATTTCTATTGAGATTAAATAAAAATAAAATCAATCAAAACAACTTGAGGTTTCATAGTTTATTTTCCACAAATCACCAAACACGCATCAGGAGTTAGATGGCTGTTCAGTTCTGGGATTTACAGAAAAGTGTAAGCATCACAGTATACAAAGCCATCTAAAATCTGGGTGTGTACACTAAATTAGAGCAGTTGCCTCAATGAGTAACTCTAACCTCTTCTTCTCAATATCATCAGTCTGTGATTCCAGTTGTTCATTTAACTTAGCTAGTTGTACTTGAAGAAACTCAACTTGTTCACTGTTTACATCACCCTGTAAATTTTTTGCATGAACTGACATTGTACATGCTTTAGAAAGGCATAATGTTCATCACTATTCATATAACCTTCATAGCTACGTAACTGTTAGTGTGAACCAGGTGTTTACTCTTAACTCAAACATTCAAGCTCAATTGAACCTCTCAATGT